AAGATTTACTGAAGTGAAACTTCTTATGCGACTTCTAAAAAAGTTGCGTTAAATGTTTAACGCTCTTTGAGGTAAAAACAGACAGAGCGAGAGGGAACGCCGGCGGGCAATCAATTGTTACTTGTAAGTAATGATAATAAAGTATGTTTTAAAGAAACTCTAAAAACTACTTAAAAATCTATTTTTACAATTAACTTTTTTAATCTAATATTACTAAGTTTCACTTCTTGCACTCACGTACCTACTCACTGAGGGACTCACGTACAATATATTTTTTTATTTAATTATCCTACATGTACGATATTGTACTCATACCCGTAACTCAATAGAATGTTTCTTAGAGACGATTTTAGCATCATTTTATATAAAAATGTTATGATATGTATGTTCATTGACTGTGGTAAGCGATTCCAGTAATTTTATTTTACATATTATAATTAATTATAAATGGTGTCTCTAATTTTTATTTTACATCCAACTGCTTTTTTTCTCTACGGAGAATTATTTTCTTTAACCCATTTTACTTCAATTATATAATTAACAGACTTAGCATCCAGTTTCTAACATTTTTACTAGTAAATATTTTATTAAAGCTATAGATTTTTCTATTATAACGTGTTTCTTTGTGTTACTTTCATCTCAATACCCTGTGATCATACTTGCTGTAAAATACTCAACAAAAACGTCAAGTAAAATGTGTAATAAGAGTAACTTTACGATATTTTGAAACTATGTACCGAATGTTGCAACACTAACAATGTAACATTTTTATTCTTAGTATTTTGCGTTATTTTATACAAGCAAATGTTAAATTCCATTGGTTTTACATTGATTGCTTATTTTAAGATCAAAGGCGTCTAATAGAAGATCGGTGTTTACGTCATGAAGGTAAGCTTTTGTCAGTCTGTTATGATGATGAATAGAAATTTATTCATATTTTTTGTTTATTCCTGTCTGAGTTTTTTTTAAGATTCGACCACAAAAAAAAAACAATCAATGTCATTTATAAATTTTACTTACAGAGTAGATTAATAAAATATGAACTAAGTATTATATATATAAGGAAGTATTTTATATCTGTCTCGTATTAATCTGTACTTATTTTTATAACTAAAAAAATCTTCACTATTTTTAATCTATTAATCTGAATAATTTAAAAAATGCGATTCTAATAGAGACACGCCTCTATTATGTCGACCATTAAGATTTTTTTCATTGTAACGAAAAAAAAAAAAAATATAAATGATACAACAATTACAGTTAAATACTAATCAGATATTCACTAGAATATCTAATCTCGCAACTCGCCCACATTCTGTCTCATTTGTTTACAAAATCGTTCGCGCCTGAGAAATAATATGCTTTAAGTTAAATAAATGCTTCCACGAGCTATATCCCCATTGGTTTTATTGTGTATGCGATTCGGGATCTTTATCTGTTACAGCTGCTTGCTGGATTACAGATTATAAATAGACCATAGACAACAAATCATTAAACGGTAGTAATGTGAGATTTTTTGTACGTCGATATAAAACAGAGTTTTATGAGCATTACGGTTATGACTAAATATTTTTATTACATATTAAATCATTACGGACCTGTTACTAAATATTTTGTAAAAAATATTTAAATTTTCAATGTAAAAAAGCTTTGATCTACGTTATAAATAAGATTTATGCGATGAATTTATAGATGTATCTAATAAAATCTTTCTCAACTTTCATGACTTACCTATAAAAAGTGAGACAAATTAATTCAATTGAATTGAATTCAATATTTTTATATTAAAATAATATTGAAATGTAACAAAAATAAAATTGTTTATTACCACTAAATATAAAACAGTTTAATAAAAATATTCTTCAACTTACACTAATAAAATATCGAAATATATAAGATCGAATTAAATAGGTATGCAGATACTTACTAGTTTAGACGCATACAGACACACACCACTATAATAAATACTGGTACTAATTATTGATATACAGTGTTCGATTATTTGATTATAAAAACAGTGATAAACAATCTTAAAAAAAATATTACTTTAATATTCAAGGGCAATACACATGAAAATATAGGAAGCAATAGTGCATTAAAAAATACTATAATTAGGTAAATTAGTTAACTCATGTGTGATAAAGGATTCATAATTTTTTTTAAAGGCAATGTTTTTATTACATTTATACCTTTGTATATTTTTAAAGATCCTTTAATATTTTGTGATCTATTATTATCACTAAACAAATAGGTAAATGAAATAAATATGCAAGTTTTTAGTGGAGATTAGATATATTTTTTGTTTATTTTAATTTAATTTGTGAGTATGATTTGTCGACTCCAAATTCCTAAGATTTAGACTTAATTACATTGAATTTGTTCTTTGGGATGGCAATTGACTTGCATAGAATTAGCTTCAATAAATTTAATTCCGTTACTCTAAATTTAAATATTTTATTTAATAATTCACTTAAAATCTCTCGGATAGTTGAGTTTTCATTCATTCGGCGAATGGTCTTTTAATTTTTGCGTTTACGCTATAGTATTTTAAAACGAATAATTCTCCATATACAAATCAAATAATTGATAAGATTTATTTAAATTACATCATAACCACAGAAGAACCACCATTACTTATGTATTTAAAATTTCAATTTCGTTTATATCCAGGTATAACATAATTGTACTACCCATCGAAATAAAAAATATTAAAATACTAAATTCAACTCACAAGCAGGCAAATTAAAAACAATATACAAATTTATGATGTATTAAGGATTGATAAAATTGTTTTAATATAACGAATTTCAAATGTTATGATTTGTTTTTATATGTAAACTTTAACATTGGATTCCATTAATTCAATATATTCCTTAACATAAATAATAATTAATATTTTTTTCGAAATTCTTTACATATTTACAAGTTATTCAACAGCACCAACAGTACAAATAACAGTACAAATTAAAGTTGTGACGTCAAAAGCACTACGGATCGTTCGAAAGCTATCCGCGGATTTGCATTTAAAACAACAAAAAGTAATTTTTTTTTAAACACATTAAAATCATATCAAAATAAAGTTTTTTAGGAAACTTACATACAACAACAGTTAGTCTGGTCTAATATTGTCTCATTAAAACTATTTTTTTCAGCGATTTAATTATTTTGAATTTGGAACACGTAGGTATATTCTTTGAAAAATTACTTTGGATTTTACACCATTTCACACATTTTTCGTATTAATTAATTAATTATTAAATCACATAATTGAATGGGGTGTTAAAGAAGTAGAATCGCAGATATCGGATTCCACAAAGTGCGTGTGAAGCAGTCGGTCATATTCAAGACATTTCAAGAGCTCGTGGTGAGCCGCATATTCGTGTCATATTATCTATGAGAGGATACTCGAAAACTTGTAGTACATCGATCAAAATGAATTCTATATAAATACGTATGTGAAAGGTATAGAAATATCTTCTTTCCCAAAGAAAAAATAATCCACGATTGAAGAACACTATAAAAAGCAAAATAATTAAGAGTATGCTCAGAGTTTCAAGGAAGCTTCATCATGATGCCTCTTGGCCATCAGTTTGGTTAAGCGTACCTTATCAAGATAATACAAAACTATTTTTGAAAGAGCGAATATTTGAGGCAAAGTGTTTTAAGCACTACACTTAAAAAATACGGTTCACTTTCCAGCAGGAATTAGCATCTAGTCAAAAGCCTCAAACTACCCTTGCCAGAACTTATTGCCGGACAAGATAATTTTTCCACTTTAGTTTAAGTGTTTTTATGAAAAACAATTAAGTTTCGTTTTAAGCACCCAATAAAAAAAACACCCTCATCACCTTTGTAAACTCTTAAATCTCCCTCTTCTGCATTAAATCCAGATAATTTAATTTAAGCTTGAACGATGAAACAATCTAAAAATTGTATTCAGTGATTTTTTAGGATTCCACTTTTGTACTTAGTACTTATGTTTATCCAAAACATTGAAAATTACCGTGAATGCAACAATTACTATAGAATGCAGTCTTTATATATTTATGAAAAAATCTTTGCAGACTTTAATCCTCATCGATCATTTAATCATTTAATCGATTTTTAAAGTGACCATGACATAGGTATTAGGGCATCTTTCACCATTAAATAACATTGAACTAGTTTAAGTGCCTATAATAATGCAAGCTTAATTTGTCACGATATAATCTATCTCATTTTTATATAATCTTTTTTCTTCTCTATTCATCTTAGTTAGGAAATAGGTCTTATTACAAAGCACTATTTTTTTATATAGTTTCAGTACCCTCACTTAGCACGTGATGATAAATGGGCAGATTCTTATGTTTATTATAAGTATAATGCGGGACGCCACTCTTATACTCTGAATATTTGACATTTGAATGAAAATTTTTTTGCTTCACGGTGCATAACATGTTATACAGTTTTTTTTTCTTTTAGCTCAAATAATTATATTTATAGCACAACATGTGCCACAATTTATATTTGGTTAGAAAACTTATTTGACAAATATGAAATTTATGTAATTTTGTATAAGAATTGATTTCCTTTTCGTTATTATATAAAATTTTCATGGCTGCAGGTTGATTTAAAGATTTTTGAAAGTTTTATTTTTGACTTCATTAAACAATGCAGGCAGTTTGTGTTGCCCTATTTCGCTTTTGTCATTCATAATTATCATTTCATTGTTTTTATTCCATAATATATAGAATTTATATAAAAGTATTTAAAAAAATCTATTTCTGCTTAGAAATTTAAACATAAAATCAAATCCATTTTATATAGTCTGTTAAATTTAGTAAGTGAACTGTCATTTATCATCAATGAAATATTTTATCTGCATTCAGTTTTAATCTATGAATGGCTTTACTTGAAGCTTGTTTGTTTGTTTATTTTTTGTATAATTTAGATTTTAGATCTAAGTTATATCTAGATATGGAAAGTAAAGTGTAAAAGTAGATCTTAAAATACTTAAAAAGATGGAAAATTATATTGTTCTGTCATTTATTGGTGAAGGATCATTTGGTCGAGTTTTTAAAGCCAAGCACAAAGATACTGATGGTATTGTAGCTTTAAAAGTTATAAGAAAGGTAAGCTTTGTTTTATTAAAAAGTGTTATAAAACATACATTTACATTCCCATATAGTTACTAAAATATGAATTCAACATTAACTTAAAAGATTCGTTCTAATTTAAACTTTACTTATTTTTGTGACACATAAGGCGGGAGAAATTAAACTGGTTCTTTCCTTTTATTTCTTCAGAAAGGAAGGTCTTCAAAGGACTTAAAAAACTTAAGACAGGAATGTGACATTCAAAGGCAATTGGATCATCCAAATATTATTCGAATGATTGATAGTTTTGACACTGAATCGGAACTGGTAGTTGTGACTGAGTATGCTGAAAAGGAATTGCATAGCATCCTGGCTAAAGAAGGATGTCTTAATGAGGAGGAAGTAAAGAAAGTGACCTGGGATTTAGTATCTGCCTTGTATTACTTACATTCACATAGAGTGCTACATAGGTATGAATGCATTTGTAATTAATAAATGAAATATAACTAAAATATATTGATTTTTATTGATAGAATATTCATAATTTCAATAGTATAACTTTTTTGGGTTAATTATGGTCCAATATAGCTTTAAAAATATTATCTGAAACTTATTCATATCATGTTTGGTATTATATTATTATTATTATATATCTTAAATGTGATTACATGATTTCTTCTAGTACTAACAGTGAAATCCTGAATGTACCTGCATAGTTTTGTTTTCTTTACCCATTTCGAAACTGTAACATAGTAAAAAAGTATGGTCGTACATGTGTTTATGTAGGTTAACTTATTTTTCAGAGACTTAAAACCACAAAATGTTCTGTTAGACAGCACAGGAAGAGCCAAACTGTGTGATTTTGGTTTGGCAAGGATAATGACGAATGCTACGCATATTCTGACATCAATAAAAGGTACACCTTTATATATGGCCCCGGAACTTATTGATGAAAAGCCATATGATCATCAGGTATAGATTCCAATTTTTCTAGATAAACACTACATGTTTATATTTTAACTTTTTAATTCTTTGTAAACATTAATGTATGAAACACCTTTACACAGATGATAAACCTATCACAGTCATCAATAATTCAAAATTATCAGAAATTATATAATACATACATACTTGCTGACCCGGCAAACATTGTTTTGCCATATAAAAAGATAGGGGTTGGTGATAAAAATTTTGTGTTGTATGTATTTTTAATGCTATATTATAAAAAAGATAAAAACCTAAATTTCGTCCAAAAAAAATAATTAAGGATGAACAACCCTTATTACTAAGGGGTATAAAAAATAGATCTTGGCCGATTCTCAAACCTACTCAATATGCTCACAAAATTTCATCAAAATCCGTCCAACTGTTTTGGAGGAGTTCTCTGTCTAAGACCGCAACACAAGAATTATATATATAAGATATAGATAGTTTATTCTGAATAATTAGGTAGATGTATTGGTGTTTTTAAAGTTAATATTTTTATTATGTAACTTTAATATTGAACTACTTTTTACAGGCAGATCTTTGGTCACTTGGTTGCATAGTGTATGAGTTGATGGCTGGTCAGCCACCGTTCTGCACAATGTCAATTTGGCAGCTTGTCCGTATGATAAGGCATAAACCTGTCCAATGGCCTAGTTTTATTACAGCTGAGGCAAGATCTTTTCTACAGGTGAATTTATAATGCAACTTATTACTATGAAGCTTTGTAATTATAAAGAAATTGCATGAAATTTTTAAATGGTATTACATTAATACAATGTAAATGATAGAAGGAAAAAACTTAAATTATGAGACTTTTGCTTTTACTTTCTCACTGATATTTTTTAAATGATGTTGTGAAGATAATGACATCTAAGAATTTCGGGAGGATTCATTTAAATAAAACTAATATTTTGGAATTAGTACAAAGTGAGATTTTCATCTCACCTGCCTGTGATTACAGGTGCTGCAAAAGTAACCGAACCATTAGGAGTATCTTGATAATACAGGGTGACTGGTGAATTACTATCGATATTTGAGGACGTGATATTTGACGATCATATATGACAAAATAAAAATTAATATAACATAAATATTAATAAATTTCTAAGCAAAGTTAACCAAAAGTTATGTAATTAATTACGCATCGTATGAACACCCTACAGATTAGGTATACACACACACACACACTCGTGCGGGGCGGCGTCTTGTTGTATCAGCACGCCGCCGCACACGTTCACATTTGGAACACTTGGAACGTGTCAACACTTTATTTATTTATACGGAAATTTGGTCAAAAATTAAGTACCTATTTTTTTTACATAATTCGAATCAGAATCATGTACCGAGTATGCTCCTTAAATATTGATAGTAATTCACCAGTCACCCTGTATAATAAAATACTTGTAATCTGAAAGTTTTAGTTTTATTTTAATGGTGTTGTGAAATTAAATTGAATAAAATTTTTATTTTAATTGAAATTGATTGATGTGAAAGAAATATTCAATAACAAATTAATGTTTCAGGGTTTGCTGCATAAAGATCCATCTAAAAGAATGTCTTGGTCTGAAATTCTTGAACATCCATATGTGAAAGGGCATGTTTTAATATTGCCAGAAGACAAACAAAGTGACTCGCCATTCACCAAGCCCTTGTCTTGCAGCCAACAGGAAGCTAAGTTTTTACAAGCAGAGAAAATGAGTAAAAATATAAAGTAAGACTAGAAATATAACAAGACTATAGATGTTGCCAGAATCTTTAATTTATAGATTTAAATTTTAAATGAAAATTATGTATTTTCAATTAAATTTATCTATTTGAATTTGCTATAAATCTAGTAGTTTCACAATTACTTACTTCTTAAACTTCCTTATGTCATTGTATATTTATATATTAAAATATAACTTTCTTTTCAAATTTCAGAACCGACACAAAAATCGCAAGTGAAGTTAAATCTGAAAATAGAGAGCATGACTTAAGAAATATTCGGGTTATGCATGCTATGGAATGCGTTCCAATGTCTGATGATGATAGTGTTAGAGCGACTAGCGCCTTCAGTGTAAGGGATAGTCTCAAAACAGATGACGAAGACCAATCACAACCCATAACAGCAGCTAACGCTAAACTATTGAGATATGAGTTCAATGTTATGAATAACTCGAACCTCGTAGTATGTAATCTGGAGAACAACATGGCACAATTACAAGCGGCTAACCAAAAACACGAATTCAACAAAATGCATAAAATTGTTGAAGAGAAACAAGAACTACATAAAGATGTACCAGTGGATGTAGATAATGTATCGATTGTTAGTGATAAGAAAGATGATTCTAAAGTCAAACCCAAACAAACTGACACAGCATCACAGAGTTTGGAGCATCCGAAGAGCTCAACGAAATGCAGTAGCGATGTTAGTTCGGGTCTTAGCAAAAGTGTACCGCCGTCATATAAACAAAAAATATTACAATTCTCAAGAGACAAGTTACGTTTTGGAAGCGGTGGTAATAGATTGACTAGGAGCATCAAGAGATCATTTCACTTTAGCAGGAGTCTGGACAAAAATAAGACTGACGTTCAAAGAAGGACGAGTGAACCGGCTCTGGAAATAAATTGTACAGAGAAAAAATCGGATACCGATAAAGAAAAAGGTCCTAAAGAGGATAAAGATCAAGATATAGAAAAGTGTGAGATTATAGAAGAAGCATCAGATGAAAAAGATCTGGCTAATAATGATCATCCGCTACAAACAGTAGAAAAGGACGAAAGTAAGTCTGTCTCGTTTACTCCTATACCAACATAACTATATTGGACTTTGGAATTTAATTTCAATACAAAAGATTTTATTAACATTTTACTATTACATAAAATCATTACAGTAATGCCTCATATAAGTCTTTTCAAACAATCCTCTTTGTTATGTTTTATATTAACTTGTATGTACTTCATGATGGTACTCATATTAATTACAGTTAAAGAACCCTCGTCCCTGGAACTAGAGGAATGGGAGGCGTTTCTGAACTCAAACATCACTGAGGTTATGGAAGGCGATGTAGAATCCCTCACTCAACTGAACATGGTGAGATTGGATTTAAATTAACGAACCAAACAAAAAACATACAAAAAGTATACACATACTTTAAATGTAGAAAATTATATATTATTCTAGCTACCTATACCTACCTACCTATGCCTACTTTGACCTAAAATTTCATCCTGATAGTAAGGGAGAATATATTCAATTCCCAAATTCAATAAGTTATTTAGTCAATCTTCTTCTATCTGGAAATTTCCCAGCTTTAGCCAGGGTCTGCCTTACATATTATTTAATCAATATATTTATGATATTCCAGGTTAGTATGGTTGTGGGCGTAGTAGGCGCGGCTGCCAGGTGGCGTGGCGCGCGGGTCTGTGGGGCCGTCGCCGCGCTTCTAGCATTACCAGCACTCTCACATTCACTGCCACGACATACTCTACTCAATATACAAGATGTGAGTTATTATGCTTATAACAGGCTAAATAACTAAAACCTTATTATTATTTTCAACACTGGCAATAACCATTTTCTCTAAGATATTTTGTAACTGGCAACACCTAAATTTAAACTGTTAATAAAATATAAAAATTGTATAATTCGTTAATACATCACATTTTATTATTAAGTGACTGTTAGCGAGTATAACTTTATAAATAAAGCTCCTATAGTAAAATTAAGTTCTTGAATAAATGTACCACATTACTTTACCAGGTATATCTCGAAGCGAAAGTTGTTTTTAACTTTGTGGCTGCCATAAACACGCTCATGAAAGACAAAAGAGATTCCGACCAAGACTCCGAGGACAGGTAATTATAATTTATATAAAACATTTTACTTTCTCCAAGATACATATAGTTTTTAACGAATGTATTACAAGGGTTCAGTTTAAATAAGATATTAAATGTGCTTGTATAATAGTAGTTCTTGTACAGCTAAGTACAGATTGCTAGTTATTCCACTCACAAAGGGTGTCAACAATGAAAAATTCCCGTTTTATTCATATATTCTAAATGATCCAAAATTGCTAGGAATCTTCTATATATGATGTAGAAATCACATATAAGTGCATTTTATATGTAATAACTCATTCCAACAATAATAATTGTTAACAAAGAAAATTTTAAATTACCTTATTTTAATCCGCGTTAAGAGGAGCTCTAACGACTATATAATATATAATGCGCTTAACTTCTCATACAAATGAGTTAGACAATAGTAATGTGTCTTATATTTATATAAATTATATAATTCCCAGATCTCGTTCTGTATCTCGTATGGTGGAGGTGTGCTCGTGGCTGTGCGTGCGTTCGTCTCGAGCTGTAAGACAATTCGCTACAGCTGTTACCGCCTTCAACGCGCATCTCGTCTTCACACTACTACTGGAATACCGTGAGTATATAAAGAATCTTCTTCTTCTTGGCAATTATCCTAGCTTTAGCCAGAGTCTGCCTAGTACATATTTATACAGAGAAATACCCTTTGATAGTCAATAGACTGAGTACTGACTAAAATTATCGTACTAACTTGAGAAGTATATTTATGGAATGCTTAAATCACTGACTTTAGTTAAGAGACATGGCTTAGTTGGCAAAGCAATTGAAATGAATTATATCGTATGTAGGTTCGATTCTCACTCGTGTAGATATTTTTTCATAGTATATTTTCTATTAATATTTTCATTCAATTCGTTCAAAGTATTGCATTGATGTGAAAATATAATTGTAACAATTTTGAAGATACTTTGATTCCAATAACTTCAAAAAAATCTGTGTGAAACCATTGCTAGCTTCTTGTATTATTACAATAATATTTATATTATTGGTTCGTTTCGAAATATGAATATTTGTTGGATCACAATACTTTCTAATAACAGGAAAACTTAATTTTTATTTATTAATATAATTTAATTTAATGTATCATTGCGTCATTAAATTGAAGCGGTTAATAAAGATGCTACATAGTATAGGTGATTACCGAAATATTAAGTAATAACGATGAAGCTATTACATTTATATCGACAGTTCTATTTATTATTAGATAAAATTCTCACAAGCTAGTTAATATTTCGTAATAAAATTTGAGGATTAAATTTTTCGATTGTCTTTGAAATTACTTAGAATTGCACAATTCCTAGATGGCGCTGCTTATACATTAAACATTTTTGTTACAGATTCAAAAACCCCAAGAGAATCACAGAACGTAGTTGGTATTCTGATAACCGTTTTACAAGACCTCCCCGAACACGCGGATGTGGTTGAGAAGATTCTATTCGATAGCACGAGTTTTAACTTCCTGAAGCTTCTAGAACATTCTTGTGATGCTCTCAAAATGAGAGTCTGTATTCTCATAAGTCTACTGTGTACGTTTTCGTGTACAACTTTTTCAGCGGCCATGGAGTCGAAGTGGAGCAAGAAAGAAAGTGATAAACTTGAAGCTCTTCACAGCCACTGTAATGTGACACTTAATAGAGCAGCTAGATTGGCGACAAAGGAATTGAGCAATATGCCATTTTATACTAGCTGATAAAAATTTAAAAAATTGAATCGTTCAGGTTGTATTAACAGTGAGATTTTTAACTTCTTTGTTATTATAATCAAGCAATGTTTTATAGAACATTCCAGTTGTTTTTTATATTTACTGGAAGAAAAAATATAAACTTATGAATTTGAATTTATTGTTCAGATTGTTGAAATTATATAATTTTAATTTTTAGTAAGACGTCAATTAAAATGGAAAGTTACAACTCACGTATATTTTGTGAGAAATAGTAAATTTCCACTGAATCTCAATATATGATTAATATGATGCGAGTGACTCAAATAAATGTTGTGCCATAATTGTAGAAAGAAATAAAGTGACTTGTTTTAACGATGATTTTTTCATTCCGACCTTAGTATTGATATTTAATAATTGTTTTCATGTGTGTACATATCGTAAAATATTTCGGATGCATTCATTGGTATCGCATAAATTTTTTATCATCAAATATATAAATAGCAGTGGATCAACGAACTTTTCATTGTTGCGATCGATCATTGATGTTTAGGCGTTGTTCACACGTTACGCAACACAGCGTCAATTCGGCTCGTTCGCACAAAGATCGAATATCTGAGATACGGACGGGTTTTGTCAATTTGTTGTTCGTTGCACTTTATGGAGTTACATAAGGCAGGTGATCGGCCGGCCTCGCGCCGGTCGCCGCGTGCATTCACCGCCTATAACATGCATATTCAAATTTTCAAATGTGCATAAATACCAATTCCACGCCTCAATTTGTGGTCACTTTGTCGCTAAATGGCAAATCCGCATGCTTATAGTAATTACCATGAAAATTCTTGGTTAGTTGAATTTTGACAAATATAAAATGTATGTATGTAATTATTGACAAAAAAACTAATTATAGATTACTGAAACATTATATACTATCATGTCCTTTATTGCGAGTGCATTTTTAAAAGACCACTACATAAAGCAAGTTTAGCGACAATTTTTATAAAAAAAAAAATATTATTTAACAAAAAATTGTAACAAATATTATGAACACAATACATATGTATCATACACGCATTTATTGTGCGCTGTTAAAAACAATTGGGACTTATAAAAATTTTTTTACATTCTGTTATCGTGAGATAAAGCGTAAATAACTTTCATTATTATTAAGTTAAATGTTTTAATAAATTGATGTCTGTCACAATCAAATTTGAATGTGAAAGAGTAAAGTCATGAATCATGATAATATTTCTTCGAAAGGAATTTTTTGTGTCCCAACTTCGTAAATTAGAGGAAAGTATTCAAATAAAAAAAATATCATTAATGATGTGTTAAAATTGACTTCCGAATAAAACCTTTATTATTTTTAATGAACACTGGCTGTTTTATTTCTGATATCTTTTTTTTAATTACGAATAAAATGGAGAGAAGGTGCCACAGATGTAAATAATATAAATATTTGTTTTCTTGCGCCTTTTAAATATGTTTTTAAAGAGGTGAATTATTCTTCTATTTAAGGAACAAATGTATTTTTTTTATATTCTTTAATTTAAACATAACTCATTAAAGTAATACATGAATTTATTTATGAAACATTTGTCTATCATCAAATTTAAGCGGTTAAATATAATAAGAAAAATTACTACAATCATCGGCTTAACCTGTTTTCACCACCCTAGTAAAAATATAACTTAACCGGGGAATAAAATGAGAGATATTATGAACATTTATAGCTCAACCATGTGCTACTGAAATAAACCAAAGAATTTATTGAACGAATCATGTCCGATTTTCTCCATTTCCATTTACAGCAAAAATATTACTTGACAAAAAAAATTTTGAACGGTATTCACACATTTAAAAATATTTGGTTACCTTTATTATTAATATCGTAAATATTTAAAACAAGTGATTCATCTTATTTGACTTATATCGAAAATATAAGTTTCGATTCAATGAAAAATTATTTTGTAGATTAGAAACCTTTTCTATGAGAGAAAGAGGCCTTTACTCAGCAGTAGGCTCTGATAGGCTAAAAAAAATTTTTTCAGGCCTCCTAAACGACTGATTATATTCCTTAACTTGTTCAAGACGCTATCACTTCTATGTTCCTTCAAAGAATTTTGAAACACATTTTCTGTTTGGATCCAGTCTTAAGTCCATGGAATTTAAGCCAATATACATATTAATCCGTTAATGAACATCAATGTAATTTTACACTGCAGATAAAAACAATTGTCTTTAATTTACAAGAGGCAGTCTAAGGTATCTATTTTCGGCTTCTAATGGCAACAAATATGACATTGTCATTATTCAACTAGCACTCTGGGGGCTTTATTAATTTGACAGTACTAAATTAGGATCAAGTATTCGATGTTCTTATTCTTCGAAATGAAAAAACAAAATGGATGCGTTTAGTTTGCCAATTGTGATAAAAAAAATTGCTAATTGCTTTAATTTTGTTACAATACAGCAGCAAAACTTACAAAACCACACAAAAATAACAAAGTTCATTTCATTGAATCGACTATTGCGGGAAGTAATTTTTTTGTCTTGTGTTCTTAAGAAAGGGTAATATTAATTCCTTCCTCTATTAAAAAATATATGATTTTTTAATTTTTTCAAAAATCATAATTTTATGCACTTAATATTTACCTACGAAAAAACTATGCTAGAGCTAAATTTAATTGAACGATCTTTTAGGAAGATAAAAAGTATAAATGCTTTAAAAATGCTTGTCAATATTATCTATAGATGCCGTTTTAGTAATCTTGCGATTACGGTATTTTTGTACGATAACGAATTTCGTACCAGAATTTGAGTGTGCAAGCCAATCACGTAGATATTTTGCGCGATCGAAGCGGGATCATTGAACTATCGTATTCAGTGTACCATTGGGTCATGAGTATTTTGACAACGCAGCGCGGAAATTATCTAATCGGCACGCGGCCGCCAGGACGCGGGGCCAACGACACTGGGACCGTTTGCAGCGGCTCTTTGGCTAAACGAAAGTGAAATGTGAAATTAGTATTTCACTACCGCTACAGTCAGCCAACAAAATCATTCAGAAGGTGTGGCTGTTGCTAACCGCTTTTTTTGGTTTCCGTTTTAAAGAATCCTGCTTAAGAAAAAAGGATATAAATATTATTTTTCTTTGCGTTGTTTACTTCCGAGATTAATTAAAATGATACTTAAATGTCAAAGTAATTAATTTCACAGTTTAATTTTATTTTGTTTCTTTCATCTGGATGAGATGGTTTTTGTATGTGACAGTCTTTGATTGTTTTCAAATATATCTTGTAAATAATTTACTTATACGGATCAATAAATGTATGAAATGTACTTAAAAATTGTCGTTACTATAACTGCCCTACCACAACGTAAAAATTATATATTTATTTTTTTGTCCGTATCGAGAAGCGAAGTGGCGTTCACTGAATTGTAAGCAGGTCATTGACCGCTCAATACCTACACCACCAAGAGATTGCATATCATATTGGAATCATATACTTCGTAACCTACATCGCGTCGTGGGTATGATAGATTAAATTTGGAGACGAGTAGTTTTTAAATTGGCAAGTGACATCCGGACCGTAAAGAACAAAATTATGTATATATGGTATGAGTTCGAGAACAAAACAAGATATTGTTTGAAGTAAAAGGTCTACAAAAAATGTGTTTATATAATTCACAATCCCTTTCTACAACGGGTATTAAAGAATTTATATCGGTTTTTGTGTACCGGTCATATATGTACTTACATTATAAACATAAAAGTGCAGTAGTATTCAGAAAAGAAATCAGTTAAAAGTATTAATTTTAATTATCTTAAATTATGAATATATTTTTTATGATTCCTTACAAAATATGGTCGTTGTTTTATTAATTTGCCCTATAAATAATAGTTGTTTTCATCTTTTTTACGAAAATAATTTTATTATTAACAGCACATATTCTATGTTTCTTAATTTATCGTTTTTTACTATAATGAAAAATCGCATTAGGAAATACCGAGGGATAATCGATCATCGAAGACTGAGTCAGTTGCACAAAGTACATTAGGAATAGTAAATAAAAGGTCGACGACCTACGGTTCAATTACGACTAGCGTAGTAAATTTCTGATAGACCAAGCAATGTGATCGTTGTTCATCAAAAGAAAATATATCTTGAGAAAATAGCAATTAGTCAGATATTAGGTTACACATAATAATATTATGCACGTGGTTATTTTGTAATATATCTATAGTAAATCAGTTGTCAAAGCATGTCCTTGCGAGTTTAATGAACCAGGAAATCTGTTGTCTATTACTTTGATAATAGATTTTATCCGAGCTCTTATATAAGTCCTTGATACTTGATAAAGCGACCTTCACGGGCAATGCCGCATTGAAATGAAGTTAATGACATATATCTAGTAAGCGTAATATTACTTGTTTTTAGATCATAGCGCTATTACTTAATTTTTATAACGAAAAAATAAACTAACATGAAAATTTATTTTATTTTAATACTTTTGTATATTTCATATATGAATAATAAAAATCGGGAAAGAAAAAATAAGAAGCATTTTAATACCCCCGTTTACCCGTCTGAAAAATGCCTATTACTTGCAAATATTTTACGTCAAGAAATAAGATGTCCTTTTCTTTATCCATTTGTAATCCTTAAAGAGGTTTCTATATTTTCTACCCGCTAACGATTTGTTGACAAATTATATTTATGAAATTTGTTATAAAAATACATAGGTACAAAAAAGTTTATTTTCTATAAAAAAAATTTCTTCTTTATAAGAACAAAAAACGGGGTAGGTTTTCACGTATATTTCTATACATAAATATCAAGTTTAACATTATTATTTGCGTTTTTTTTTTTAATTATTTTTAGTATCCTAGCATTTTCTAAAAAAACTTATTAATGATATAAGAAAATGAAAAAAAAAGAATCAAAAATAGGCTTTGGAGGTCTAATAAATACTTCTAAAATAAAATTTTTTTTCATAACAGTTATTTAAAAAAATGGAGTTACTAG